TCTCGTTTCTTTTGATTCCTCGTATCTTCAATTTTTGGATTTGCATCGTTCCGTGTTTCTCTTTAATTTTTCATTTATTCAAATTTTCGAACTGCAACTTTTGGGTTCAGTTTTTATTTTCTTTATTTTTAAAATTTTTCGATTTCTCTGTTTTCCGAGTTTAGATCTTTTTGTCTTTTCAATTTAAATTTTTTCAATTTTTCGTTTCTTCAATTTTTTGTTTCTTCAATTTCCCGTTTCTTCAATTTTTCAATTTGCATCTTTTCGAGTTTTCATTTTTAAATTTTCCGCTTTTCCAATTATTGGATAGGTACTTCAGTTTTTAAACTTTGAAATGTTTCTATTTGCAATTTCACGAAGTTTTTACGTTTTTATTTTTTAATTTTAGATTTTTCAGTTTTTCATTTCTTCAATTTTTCGATTTGCAATTTTACGTTGCGGTTTTTTATTTTCTTTATTTTTTCAATTTTTTGCTTTTCAATATTCCGATTCTTTAATTTTGATTTTTTTCAATGTGAAATATTTCGATATTTGGATTCTTCATGTTTTCAATTTGCAATTTTTCGACTTTCAACTTTCGATTTTCCAACGTTTAATTTTTTAATTTTTCGTTTTTTCAATTTTTATTTGCAATTTTTTGTTTCAGTTTTTTATTTTCTTCGTTTTTTCAATTATTCGACTCTTCGGTGTTTCGACTTTTTAATTTTTTGTTTTTCCAATTTTCATTTTCTACATTTTTCTTTCTTCAATGTTCGTGTTACGACATTTCAATTTACAATTTTTCGTTTCTTCAATTTCTCGTTTCTTCAATTTGCATCTTTTCGAGTTTTCATTTAAAATGTTTCCGAATCTTCTAAGTAATTTCACTAAGGTTACTACTTTAGGACTTTTTTTACCGAGAGTTTGAAAATATTCGCTTTCAAAATCAAACTTCTAAACTAATCTAAAAATTTTAGAAAAAACGTACGAATTTTCAATTTCTCGTTTCTTCAATTTGCATCTTTTGGAGTTTTCATTTAAAATTTTTCCGATTTTCCAACTTTTGGATTTTTTGGTTTTTGGATTTTGAAATATTTCTATTTGCAAATTCACGAAGTTTTTAATTCTTTGATTTTCAATATTTCGAATTACAATTTTACGTTTCGGTTTTTTATATTTATTGATTTTTCCATTTTTTGGTTTTTCAATGTTCTGATTTAATATTTTTCTTTTTTTTCAGTGTGAAATTTTTCAATTTTTGGATTCTTCTCTTTTCCGATTTACAATTTTTTGTTTTTCAATTTTTGTTTGCAATTTTTCATTTCAGTTTTTCATTTTCTTTGTTTTCTCAATTATTCGATTCTTCAATGTTTCGATTTTTTAATTTTTGTTTTTCCAGTTTTCATTTTTTCAATTTTTCCTTCTTCAATTTTTGTTTTTTCAATTTCCCGTTTCTTCAATTTTTCGATTTGCAATTCTTCGTTTCGGTTTATTATTTTCTATATTTTTATAATTTTTCGGCTTTTCAATGTCCTGATTTTATAATTTTTCTATTTGCAGTGTAAAAATTTTTCAATTTTTGGATTTTTCAGCTTTTCCGTTTTGAACTTTCGATTTTTCAACTTTCAGGTTTTATAATTTCTCGTTTTTTCAATTTGAGACTTTTCGTTTTGTCGATATTTCAATTTTTTGTTTTCAATTTTAGATTTTGCAAATTTTCGATTATTGGAGGAAGTTTGGATTTTATAATTTTTTATATTTTCAATTTTAATTTTTTTCGATTTTTCATTTCTTCCATTTTTCGATTTGCATTTTTTCAATTTTTCATGTTTTAGTTTCTTCAATTTTGCGGTATGCATTTCTTCGAGTTTCCATTTCTAAATTTTTCGCTTCTCCGATTTTCCAAATTTTAGATTATAATTTTTCCTTTAGAAATTTTTCAATTTTTGGATTTTTCAATTTTTTGATTTGCAGTTTTTCGGTTTTCAACTTTAGCGTTTTCAACTTTTAAGTGTTTCAATTTTTGGTTTTTTCAATTTTAGATTTTTCATTTTTTCAATTTTTCAATTTTTCCTTCTTCTCTTTTCGTTTTGCAACTTTTCAATTTTTATTTTTTTCAATTTTTAGATTTTGCAGTTTTTCATTTCTTCAATTTTTGGTTTCTTCAATTTTATTTTTCTTCAATTTTTTGTTTCTTCAATTTCCCGTTTCTTCAATTTTTCGATTTGCATCTTTTCGAGTTTTCATTTTTAATTTTCCGCTTTTCCAATTATTGGATACTTCAGTTTTTAGATTTCGAAATGTTTCTATTTGCAATTTTTCGGCTTTCAACTTTCGATTTTCCAACGTTTATATTTTTCAATTTTTCGTTTTCCCAATTTAGATTTTTCAGTTCCTCAATTTTTCGATTTTGGTTTGCAATTTTTCGATTCAGTTTTTCATTTTCTTTGTGTCTTCAATTATTCGATTCTTCAGTGTTTCGACTTTTTAATTTTTGTTTTTCCAGTTTTCATTTTTGCAATTTTTCCTTCTTCTATTTTCGTTTCACGACTTTTCAATTATTATTTTTTTTGTTTTTTCAATTTTTAGATTTCGCAGATTTTCATTTCTTCAATTTTCCGATTAGGAATTCTTCGTTTCGGCTTTCTATTTTCTTTATTTTTTTTAATTTTTCGGCTTCTCAATGTCCTCATCTAATAATTTTTCTTTTTTTCAGTGTAAACATTTTTCGATTTTTGGATTTTTCAGTTTTTTATTTCAGTTTTTCGATTTTAATTTTCGATTTTTCAAATTTTAGACTTTTTAAATTTTCGTTTTTTCAATTTGAGACTTCATTTTCTCAATTTTTCGATTAAAAATTTCTTGAGTTAACAATTTTTAATTTTTAAATTTTTCAATAATTTAAGTTCGGATTTTATAGTTTTTTATATTTTCAATTTAAATTTTTTTCGATTTTTCGTTTCTTCAATTTTTCGATTTGCATTTCTTCGAGTTTCCATTTCTAAATTTTTCACTTTTCCGATTTTCCAAACTTTTTGTGTTTCAGATTTTACATTATAATTTTTCCATTTTCCAAAGAGAAATTTTTCAATTTTTGGATTTTTCACTTTTTCGATTTTCAGTTTTTCGGTTTTTAACTTTCGATTTTTCTGCTTTTGGATGTTTCAGTTTTTGCTTTTTTCAATTTATCAATTTTTCGTTTCTTCAATTTCACTTGTCAATTTTTCTACCTTTCATTTTAAGTATGTATTTCATGAAAATTATATATTTTTTAGAATTCTTCCATCTTTCAATATTTGGATTTTAAAACTTTCTTATCAGTTTTTCTATTTTTAATTTTTCAATTGTTCTATATTTAACTTTTCAATTTTTCGATTCCTTTCGTTCTTCTTTTCCTTTTTCGATTCTTTAATTTTTTCGATTTTTAGTGGTTTTTCAATGTTTCGATTTCTATTTTCTTCAGTTTTTCGAAAGAACAAGCACAAAATGAAAATTTTGAAAAATCTAAAATTTGGAAACCAAGAACTCGAAAAATTGAAGAAATGAAAAAATCGAAAGATTAAAAATTGAGAAACTTAAAAATCAAAAAAATACAAAATCAAAAAAGCAAAATACTGTAATATCGAAATATTGAAAATTAAAGAAATGGAAAAATCGGATAATTGGGAAATCCAAAAATTGCATCATTCAAACATTTCAGAAATTTGAAAAATGACGAATTGAAAAATCAAAGATTAATAATTTGAAGTATCGATTAAACAAAAAATTATCATAAAACCGAAAGAAACATCGAAAAATAAGGGAAATGGAAAAACGAAAATCGTGACATAAAATCGAGAAAACGAAAATTAAAAAAAATCGAAAAAATTTAAAATTAAGATCAAGAACTTGAAAAATTGAGGAAACGAAAATTTGAAAAATCGAATAATTAAAAATTGAAAAACTGAAATCTCGAAAACTGAAAAGTTGTGCCATCGAAAATTTGCAAATCAAAAAATTGAAGAAACGAAAAACTGAAACATTTGGAAATCGAGAAATTGAAAATAGAAATAATTAAAGATACAAAAATGAAAAATTGTGTAACCGATAATTGAAAAATGGAAAAATTGAAAAATTAAAGACAAAGAAAAAACGAAAAATTTTGATGTGAAAAAATTGGTGCAAAGTAAATAGATCCAGATTTTTCGAAAAATGGTAAGATTTGATTTGGTGAATTTAATTTTTTATGATAACCCTTGAAATAAAAATATGTATGTAATGTTAAAATAAATATAAAGAAGAGTGCTACGCAAAAATTTGTGATGACGTCATCAACATGAGTCAATCTTAATTTAATTAATGAATCATCATATTTTGTATATTTCAGAGCGAATTTATTTTTATTTAAAAAGTCGAAAAATAAGTCTACTAGAAATTTAAGGAAAATGTGACCACCTGCGAGTTTATCAAATGATGAATGGTTTCCTGGTGTCGCGGCGTTCGTCGCTATAAACTCACCCCCGAAACAACACACCCCCGACATTAATTATTCCGTCGACTTATAATTTAAAGCGGATATTTTCTCCGAAAGCAAATAAGTTTTAACGAAGATAATTACGAGCAGCCGCTCCGTAAATTAATTTCAAATTGAAACTGATAACTCTGGTGGATGCGCCGGGATTCCGCGACGTTTACTCCCGTTGCATCCATCCACAACCCTTACGACCCGCCGCTTTTTGCCCCCGTGGCGGCGCAGGGGCGTAATGTCGCTTTTTAATATACAAAACACGGCGATTATGCCCCTCCTCGCCGTAAAAACTCCCGAAACTTCCAAAGTGGCTAATCTGGAGTTGACGGCGCATTAAAATGTAAATAGAGAAGCAAAAACTTGAAATTAAAACGCAGGTAGAGCCCCATTGTTGATTTTCATATTTTATGATTACTTCCATGAGTAGGATGGCTAGGATTCAAATCGGCGCATGAGCTTTCGGCCCGCGAGGGAGAGAGTTGTGCTTTCGTGCGAGCTTCGCTAGTTCAGTACGCGCGAAGCTTTCTGAACCGACGCGTGACGACGCGGGTTGGATTTCACGTCGAGTCGTAAAGTTTTTTTTATTATTAGAGACTGATTTTTATTTTTGGCTGGAATGGAAGCTGGTGAGTTTTGGCGGGAGAATGGGATGAATTATGGGCGAAGATGGGGCTCGGTGGAGTTGACAAAAAACAAACAAACAAACGCGCCATATATAAATCAGATGTCGAAGCTTGTCGACGGCAGGATAAAAGCCCATTGAAACTTTTTTTCTGTTTTGTTCAGGCTGCTTTTTCGTGTTTTGTTGGCGTTATTGACTTTAAACTTCAGGGGGAATCACAGTTAATGCGCAACAATTTTTCAGGTGACTGTTAAGCTTTAGTTGAGTGCGAAGCTTTTGAGCGGAATTGAAAGGTTGTGTTGCAGGAGATCGCACATTAAATTTGTATTTATCGGTTTATGGACCGACGTACTGAAATGTTTATGCTGAGTTTTACAAATAAATTTAGAGTTATGGACTGATGATCGGAATATCTTCTTTGAAACAAAAATAGAAAAAAAGTAGGAGACTATTTTCGATTTTTTGTTGAATATGTTTACCGAAAAGGTTTACAAATTGGGTTTGTGTATGACGAGTAAACATACATTCCATTTTAATATCCATTAAAAATGTATATATGGATTATATTCTGTAGCGAAAAATATTAAATCAAATATTATTGTTCAAAATTATATCTTCAGAAGTCAAAAATTATTATTTAATAATGGAAAATGTGAAATTAATTTTGAGTAATGAGAACTTGATATATGCTGTATTCTAATGTGCAATTATATAAATCTACTCTTGTCAACGTGTAATTATTTATAATTAATGTAAGTACTCAGTTACAGCCAATTCGTTCCAAACCACCCAAAATTAATTTTAACGAAGCAATTTAATTCTTGATTATGCAACAGTTTAATAATTTATATGAAAACTTATCTGTCTCGAGTTGCATAATCCTTTTTAAAAACTATTCTAAGTAATTTCACTAAGGTTACTACTGTAGGATTTTATTTACCGAGATTTTCAAAATATTCGCTTTAGAAATCAAATTTATGAACTAATCTAAAAATTTTACGATAAACGTAAAATTTTCGAGGAAATGAAGCTCAAAACAACTTTAGAAATCAAAATCAACAAAAGAATTTCTTCTGGTAGTTTTCGAAAATGTTCAGCGAAAAATCAAAAATTTGATCCATGAAGAACTGAGCTTTGGCAAGTTGCCTAAAAATTCGCAAAAAAATCAGAGATATAGGTTTCGATGAGTGGATTCGAAAAATATGTCTTTTGATGGTTTCGAGAAAAGATTTTCAAAATATTCGCTTTGAAAGTCAAATTTGTAAACTGTTCTAACCATTATCTGTATTTCATTTTGACAATACTGGAAAATCGTAGGAATTTTGAAGAAATGAAGCCCAAAACAACTTCTAGAAGTCGAAATGAACAAAAAATCTCTTTTGATAATTTTCAAAAATACTCGGCAAAAAATCCAAAATTTAGCTCAAAAAGAATGGAGCTTTTGGCACAGGAGCTTAAAAATTCACAAAAATTTCGAAGATATAAATTTCAACGAGGTGAATCGAAAAATAAGTTTTGAGGGCCAGAATATTCGTTTTCAAAATGAAATTTCTAAACTGTCCTAAAAATTTACATATTTTTTGGCGACTCTGAAAAAATCGAGAAATTTTCGAAGAAATGAAGCTCAAAACAACTTCTAGAAGTCGAAATGAACAAAAAAATCTGTTTTAATAATTTTCAAAAATACTCGGTAAAAAATCAAAAATTTTACTCATAAATAATGGAGCTTTTGGTAAAGTTCCCTAAAAATTCACAAAAAATCAGAGAAATCAATTTCGGGGATCTGAATCGAAAAATCTGTGTTGAAGGTTTAGGACCAAAATATTCGTTATCAAATTCAAATTTCTAAACTGTCCTAAAAATGGTGACTCTGGAAAAATCGTAGGAATTTTCGAAGAAATGAAGTTCAAAACAACTTCTAGAAGTCGAAATGAACAAAAAAATCTCTTTTAATAATTTTCAAAAATACTCGGCAAAAAATAAAAAATTTGATTCATAAATAATGGAGCTTTTGTTAAAGTTCCCTAAAAATTCAGCGATATAAATTTCGAGGAGCTGAATTGATAAAATGTGTTGAAGGTTTAGGGCCAAAATTTTTGTTATCAAAATCAAACTTCTAAACTGTCCTAAAAATTTACATATTTCTTTAGCGACTCTGGAAACATCGTAGGAATTTTCGAGGAAATGAAGCTCAAAACAACTTCTAGTAATCGAAATGAACAAAAAAATCTCTTTTAATAATTTTCAAAAATATTCGTTAAAAAGTCACAAATTTGACTCATAAAGAATAGAGCTTTTGGTAAAATTGACTAAAAATTCACAAAAAAATCAGAGAAATAAATTTCGAGGATGTGAATCGAAAAGTCTGTGTTGAAGGTTTAGGACCAAAGTATTCGTTATCAAATTCAAATTTCTAAACTATCCTAAAAATGGCGACTCTGGAAAAATCGTAGGAATTTTCGAAGAGATGAAGTTCAAAACAACTTCTAGAAGTCGAAATGAACAAAAAAATCTGTTTTAATAATTTTCAAAAATTCTCGGCAAAAAATCAAAAATTTGACTCATAAATAATGGAGCTTTTGGTAAAGTTCCCTAAAAATTCACAATAAATTCAGCGATATAAATTTCGAGGAACTGAATCGATAAAATATATGTTGAAGGTTTAGGGCCAAAATTTTTGTTATCAAAATCAAACTTCTAAACTGTCCTAAAAGTTTACATATTTCTTTAGCGACTCTGGAAACATCGTAGGTTTTTTCGAGGAAATGAAGCTCAAAACAACTTCTAGTAGTCGAAATGAACAAAAAAATCTCTTTTAATAATTTTCAAAAATATTCGTTAAAACGTCACAAATTTGATTCATAAAGAATAGAGCTTTTGGCAAAATTGACTAAAAATTCACAAAAAAATCAGAGCAAAAAATTTCGAGGACGTGAATCGAAAAGTCTGTGTAGAAGGTTTAGGACCAAAATATTCGTTATCAAATTCAAATTTCTAAACTGTCCTAAAAATGGCGACTCTGGAAAAATCGTAGGAATTTTCGAAGAGATGAAGTTCAAAACAAATTCTAGAAGTCGAAATGAAGAAAAAAATCCCTTTTAATAGTTTACAAAAGTACTCGGCGAAAAATAAAAAATTTGACTCATAAAGAACGGAGCTTTGGGTAAACTTGCCTAAAAATTCACAAAAAATTCAGAGACATATATTTTGAAGAGGTGATTCGAATGATATGCGTTAAGAGTTTAGGACCAAAATATTCGTTATCAAAATCATATTTCTAAATTGTCCTAAAAATTTCCATATTTCTTTGGCAACCCTTGATAAATTGTAGCAAATCGAATTAAACAAAAGAATCTTTAGAAATTTTAGAAAATGCTCGTCAAAAATCGAAGATTCGATCCATGAAGAGTTGAACTTTTTGAAAAGTTTCCTTAAAATATCAAAATCAAATTTTTAAACTGTCCTAAAAATTTATATATTTCTATTTGGCGACTGTGGAAAAACCGTAAAAATTTTCTAAGAAGTGAAGCTCGAAACAACGTCTAGAAATCGAAATAAACAAAAGACTATTGTTTTGTAATTTTCGAAAATGTTGGCTAAAAATAAAAAATCTGATCCAAGAATTGAGCTTTTTGAAAAGTTGAAAAATTTCCAAAAACTACTGAAATATCTATAAATTTCGACGAGCTGAATCTAAAAACCTATTGAGTCGAAGATTTAGGACCAAGATTTGCGAAATATTCGTTATCAAAATAAAATTTTTAAACTGTCCTAAAAATTTCCACTTTTCATTTTGGCCCCTCTGAAAAAATCTCAAGAATTTTTACAGAAATAAAGCTCCAAACAACTTCTAGAAGTCGTAATCAACAACAGAACCTCTTCTAGTAATTTTCGAAAATGATCAACAAAAAATCAAAAATGTGACCCATGAAGAGTGGAGCTTTTGGCAAAAAATTCACAAAAAATTGTAATAAGTAAGTCGATTTCAACGAGCTGAATCGAAAAACTTGTGGTGTTGACGATTTAGAACCAAGATTTTCAAAATATTGGCTATTAAAATTAAATTTATAAATTATTCTAAAAAATTTCATATTTCATTTTGGCGAGTCTGGAAAAATTGACGAAATTTTTGAAGAAATGAAGTTCAAAACAACTTCCAGATATCGAAATAAACAAGAGAATCTCTTTTAGTAATTTTTGAAAATGCCTGTCAACAATCAAAAATTCACAAAAAAATCTAAGATATAGATTTCGATGAGCTGAGTCGAAAAATATGTCATGTTGATGCTTTGGGACCAATATTTTTAAAATATTAGCTATCAAAACCGAATTTCTTAATTGTTCTAAAAATATTCATATTTCATTTTGGCGACCCTGGAAAAATCGTAGGAATTTTCAAAGAACTGAAGTTCGGAACAACTTCTAGATATCGAAATGAATAAAAGGATCCCTTTTAATAATTTTTGAAAATGCTGGTGAAAAAAACAAAAATTTTATTCATGAAGAATTGAGCTTTTGGCAAAGTTGTCTAAAAATTCACAAAAAAATCGGATATATAGATTTCGATGAAGTGAGTCGAAAAATATGTCACGTTGATGCTTTGGGACCAATATTTTCAAAAGATTCGCTATAAAAATCGAATTTCTAACTGTCCTAAAAATTTCCATGTTTCATTTCCACAACTCTGGGAAAATCGAAAAAATGAAGCTGAAAACAACTTCTTAAAATCTGAAATATAGATTTCGATAAACTGAGTCGAAAAGATGACCTAAAAGTAGGTCATGTTGATGCTTTAGGACCAACATTTTCGAAATATTCGCTATCAAAAACGAATTTACTATCTGTTCTAAAAATTTCCATGTTTCATTTCGACAAGTCTGGACAAATCACAGGAATTTTCGAAGGAATGAAGCTCAAAACAACTTCTAGAAATCGAAATGAACAAAAGAATCTCTCTTAAAAATTTTCGAAAATGTTCGTCAAAAATCAAATATTTGATCCATG